TGCATCTGTAGACCTAACTGGTCTGGTATCATTGTTGTTATTGTACAACAAAGGTGCATCTGTAGACCTAACTGGTCTGGTATTGCTGTTGTTATTGTACAAAAAAGCAGTATCTATAGCCCTAGCTGGTCTGATATCACTGTTTTATTGCACAAGAAAGCAGTATCTGTAGACCTAGCTGGTCTGATATTGTTATTGTACAAACAAGCTCCGTCAAACTACCGGCTTGTTTTTATACCGTTAACTACCGATTGGGTCCAGATATTGGGAAATTTGATAATTTTGTCTGTTACAACGCTCTTGTAAAGAACTGGCCTTAAAAGTTGGTGACATCTTTTGTTTTCCGTACAAAATACATGGTAACTCAAATAATATTTGGTGGAATTAACTTCAATATTGATGATGATTTATTTAGTTTTTGTTGTGACTCATATATAATTAGAGACCCTGTTGTTGTGAATAATTTGGTGAAAAAATAGTTTATAAAAATGCGTCATGATCTCGTCAGTAATCCCAGGGTTAGCTACACAAATTTTAAAGTTATCAATCATGGCAAATTATATTCTATATAACGAAACAAAAAACAAATATTCAATTAATAATATATTTTTCAAAAACATATATTTTTTATCGATTTTAGATAATCTAGGAAGAAGATTCACCTTCGATTTTTTCACATCTTTTTCCACCATATCCAGGAGGACACGTGCACACGGCAGACCGGTGGTGATTTGAAGTCATGCCGCAGGTTCCTCCGTTTAGACAGAAATACTGCCTGTACGGTTTCCTACACTGCCGATACTGGCAATAAAGACCTGTATGATAGTTTATAAAGTTATATTGTAAACGTTTTGTTAACATAAAGATTTTATAACTACTATTTGGAAATCGTACTAAGATAGGCTGGGGAAAATGACAAAAATTTCCAAATGACTGATGCATGAAAAAGATAAATTGGTAAAAAAAACGGTTTTTAGCGTTATAAGCTTTCAGATTTATCGCTGAGCCAATAATAAAGTCTTCAATATTTTAATTAAAAAAAACTTTAAAAAATAACAGATAACTTAATGGGAGGATGTTTTATTTGTTTGTTGTTAAGCACGAAGCTAAACAATGAGCTATTTGTACTCTTCTCACAGTGAGTATCGAAACCAGATTTTTAACCTTATAAGTTCTCAGACTTGTCGCTGAGCCACTGGGAGGCAAGGAGTGAAGACTACGAGAAAATAAAACCAGAAAGCTGATAAGTACACTTTTATTGACAAATGTAGGGAAGGTTTTTCAAACTTTTGTTTTTACCAACTTAGTTCATTTTGTGTTGTTGTTTTATCGTTTTCTCTGCCTTCTTTTATCCTAAGTCTTGTTTTAAAATAGCAAGAAATATTTCCGTAATTACTGTTTGTTCAACGCTAGGGTTTCATTAATGGATAATTAAAAATTTTCAGTTCATTTCATTCAAGATATTCTATCCTATCAAGCCAAATATTACAATTGTCGATATTCTATCCTATCAAGCCAAATATTACAATTGTCGATATTCTATCCTATCAAGCCAAATATTACAATTGTTGATATTCTATGCTATCAAGCCAAATATTATAATTGTTGATATTCTATCCTATCAAGCCAAATATTACAATTGTCGATATTCTATGCTATCAAGCCAAATATTATAATTGTTGATATTTTATCCTATCAAGGCAAATATTATAATTGTTGATATTCTATGCTATCAAGCCAAATATTATAATTGTTGATATTCTATGCTATCAAGGCAAATATTATAATTGTTGATATTCTATGCTATCAAGCCAAATATTACAATTGTTGATATTCTATGCTATCAAGCCAAATATTATAATTGTTGATATTCTATTCTATCAAACCGAATATTAGAATTGTTGATATTCTATCGTATCAAGCTAAATATTAGAATTCTTGATATTCTATCCTATCAAGCCAAATATTACAATTGTTGATATTTTATCCTATCAAGCCAAATATTACAATTGTTGATATTCTATCCTATCAAGCCAAATATTATAACTGTTGATATTCTATCCTATCAAGCCAAATATTATAATTGTTGATATTCTATCCTATCAAGCCAAATATTATAATTGTTGATATTTTATCCTCTCAAGCCAAATATTACAATTGTTGATATTTTATCCTATCAAGCCAAATATTATAATTGTTGATATTCTATCCTATCAAGCCAAATATTATAATTGTTGATATTCTATCCTACCAAGCCAAATATTAAAATTGTTGATATTCTATGCTATCAAGCCAAATATTATAATTGTTGATATTCCATCCTATCAAGCCAAATATTACAATTGTTAATATTCTATGCTATCAAGCCAAATATTATAATTGTTGATATTCTATCCTATTAAGCCAAATATTGCAATTGTTGATATGCTATCCTATCAAGCCAAATTTTATAATTGTTGAAATTTTATCCTATCAAGCCAAATATTATAATTGTTGATATTCTATCCTATCAAGCCAGATATTATAATTGTTTATATTTTATCCTCTCAAGCCAAATACTACAATTGTTGATATTCTATCCTATCTAGCCAAATATTACAATTGTTCTAGGATGCTTTATTTCGAGGAGAAGAAATAAGGAATACAAAATTCTTAGAAAGTAATTACCTGTATGTCGAGAAGAACAAGCACACATGTAATTGTTCTCATGCGGGATACATCTTCCTTTGTTTTGACATTTGTTGTGTAAACAAGCGTCGATTTCTAGGAAAATAGAAGAAAAATGTCACATTTCTTCTCTGATATTAGAGTTCACATATAGATGTGTCACAATAAACATAAAAATCATTGTGTCGCTTAGACGAGCTACGTTTACTCGAGCTTGATTCAGTGAGGAATTGTATATAAACATTTAGAAAATACTTTAAAGATAAATAAAAACAGGCTAATGCTTTTAATTAACTCATGTATATCTGGAAAGACAAGTGCTTTCACTTGCCTTTAAGAATGTGAAATAACGAACAGATTTATATATATATGTATATATATATATATATTCCTCCATGTAATACTGATGCAAAAATCATTTCCTAAAGATAAATTAGATGAATCTTACCTATTTTCTTTTCACAGTGAAGTCCGGTAAATTCAGGTGGACACATGCAGCCTAGAACGCCAGTGAAGTACAGACTGCAAGAACCCCCATTGTAGCAGAACCGTTCTGGACAATAAGGCACTTGACACTCACGACCTACGTGGGAATATTTCAATACCTGGCTTATGTAACTGAAAAACGTGTCCACTCATTCGGTTGGTAATTGAATTTCTTGAAAGAAATTAATTATGGAGTAGGGTGTGCATGACTCCTCGTTTGCTGATATCATAGAGATACATTGTAACATTTTACAAGAATTGTCTTCGTCTTTAAATTGTTAAGCTTAGTCATTACGCAAGGTTGAGTTCGTTATATTAAAACTATTCTGAAGCATTACTACATCCTTCACGTCCGGTCACGCTATATGTGACGACTATACATACTGACAATAGCCCTGCAACGTAGTTTCCAATAAAAATGGCTCCGCCGTAAGGCTGTCGTGTCCGAAGCACGCCACTCTACCCTGCTTGGTTTCCATAATCCATCTAGTGTACAAGAACGACAGTTTCCCAACATTCGTTTCAACAGTTTGATAAGAAAAAAATCAAACATGTCTTTGTATGAAATAGCATGCCTACCTGTTTTATTTTCTAGCTGTTGCAAGTATGAGACCGTTGATTGGAAGCCTTATCTTGGTGAACCTATTAACTTTTAACCTGTTAACTTTTAAATGTACAAAACCGGATTTTTTGTGAGGTACAAACTCACTACAAAAGGTCCTGAATATTGGTCTGATAATAAGCTAAGATCACCTTGACCTTTTTATCCACTCTCCTGGCGCAGTATCCAGCGATGCTCATGAATCACTTCAAAAAAAGTTGCGTAACATGCCGTGTACCACTTTTGCGTTTTTGCTCACCCAATTATTACCCGAGTCTTGTTACAGTTATCAAGATACACATGCGCTCCGCTGATTGTCACCACGTGCTGCAACTTCATATATTTTTCTACAGTTAGAATTCCTTTCTCGTGCGCACGTGACTTGTATTGTGTACTGTTGTCTTGCGCACGTGGATGGCTTTTGCCACTGACCTTTGTATTTTTGTATTCTCACCCGTTACAAGACGTTATACCTTGCGTACCACAGGTTAAGTACGATTTATTGCAAATTTCTATTTGGTTTGTTCTGGTGCTCTAAGTTGATCCATATTCCATTGTTTTAGAATGACATTAAGTAAAAGGGATATCACTATCTTGAAAATCACAAATCTCCGATATGAGCGCTTTTTTATGATCTGAGAGTTTGAATATTTTGCGTCAGAGAGGGCTGTTACATCCCCAAATATAGGTCAAATTGTAGTTCTAATACATTCCGTTCCGCTACGACTTTATGCAAACAGTGGCTGTCACGTAATTTTCAAATTTGCAAATTCAAAATGGTTTTCACATAACGTACTCAACCCCTATAAATAAGTCCATGAATCCAGTTCTTGGTATCCAGTACAAGTCTCCAGAGAACCAAATTATAACAAATTGTAAAATCACCAAATATGAAGTATACGTAATTTTATAATAAGAAACAAGAGTAAAATATTTGTGATTGACATTTTAGACAAATGACTTACATAGTTTATATAACTTAATGACATTTTCACCTACTGCCTTGCTTGAAGCAGCAATCCTTTACCTATTTAACCAGACACACTTTCTTCCAAATTTAAAAATATATCAAATTTAAGTTATAAAATTATAATGGACTTACCTGACTAGAAGTATTTTCAACAACTCATGTTTATTCTTTCTTTTGTTTTTATTTCGCACAAAGCTATACGAGGGCTAACTGCACTAGCCGTCCCCAATTTAGCAGTAAAAGACTAGAGGGAAGGCAGCTAGTCATCACCACCCACGCTCGAACTTTTGTGCTACTTTTTTTACCAACGAATAGTGGGATTGATCATCACATTATAATGCCCCCAGAGCTGAAAGGGCGAGCATATTTGGTGGGACGGGGATTCGAACCCGCGACCCTCAGACTACGAATCAAGCGCCCTAACCACCTGGCCTAGTCGGGCCATCTCATGTTTATAACCTTGCACTTGGAGTATACATAGACAGAACTTGGGTCAGACTTTTGGTAGTCCGCCGGATTGTGAGCGCGAGGATCCATAGGTTGTGTCTTCCTGATACAAAATTGCGCTCCGCACTTTGCCGATAATATTTGACTCATTGCAGCCTATTGTTAGTATTTTCCTCAAAGGCTTTATTTTTTATTAACCGTATTTTGTACAAAATTCCATATATATTTGCTTAAACACGAATCTATTATTTTCAATTGCGTCTGTACTGACCGTTCTTTTTTTAGATAACCTATCCATTAATTTGACTTCAAGTCATTAGAACCACCTTTACTCGTTGTTCTTTCTTTTCAAACCATACTTACTCTTTACTGTTTGATAATTTCAAACTTTTCTTCTTGTTTAGCTGTTCGCTATGAAGTGTGACTTGACACTTTAGCCTATGGCTTTACAAATATACATACTAACTGCTTGGTTTAACTTTACAGGCGAATATAATTTTCACTGTCTTTTTTGTATGTATCTTATACGTTAGCACTATCTCTGGGTGGATTGGCCTTGACTGTATGTGGCCAAACTTGCCCGTGGGCCCTTACTGCATATGACAGGTCTTATACTCTGGGCCTGTCTGTATCTAGATAGACTTTTCCTGTTCATAAATAACTGGATTTGCAGACTGAAATTGGCTGTACATAACTAGACTCGCAGGCTGGCCTTGACTGTACATAACTGGGCTTATTTTCTGGCCATAACTATGTGCACTTGCCTGTTTACTAGCCTTATCTATATGATGGAAGTTTCACACTAGCCTTGCTTCAACCTATGGTCATATATACTCGCTTGTCTTATTTATATATTCTTACTTGATCTTTAGCCTTAAACTTCTATATGTACTTCCTATATCTTTTATAACTGTGCCTTATGGATGCCTTCAGTTTTATTAAGGTAGCAGCTTGTTAGCCTTACCTTTCCAGCCACACGAACGTGAATTTACTTGCCTTACAATGAGTCCATTGACTGAAAGTTCATAACCAAACACTGTCTTTACTTTTATACCCATACCTGTCAGTGTTCTTAATCGCTGAGCTTACCTCTGTAGCCATGCCTACACTGGCACCTATAGCTATCCCTTCCATCACGAATACAAAAGCCGCCATTTTTACAAGGGTTTGGTTTACAGACATCTCTATAAGCTTGTTCTCTCACAGCTTCTGGTAAAGCTAGTCGAGATCTGACAGAAACAGCTAAAAAACAACAACAATGTTTTAGCTACAACAATCGATTGGTTAGAGAATTGGATAGAAACAGTTAAATACAGGCACAGTGCTTTACGTACAACAGTCGAATAATTGACTTAATATTCAGAACAGTTAAAAATATAGTTAAGAATAAAATAAGATAATTAACATACATAAATGAGTTTGCTTTTCTCATTGCCCTTAATCTTCAATATACTACACTCTCTTCACTAAATTGTCTAGAAATATGTTTTATAACTGAAACATTAGAATTATATTTAATCAACTTAAAGAAAATGATATATAGCTCAGTTAAGAAAGGAAAAATAGGAGTTATTACTTCTTTATATAACTTTTTTATATCACTAATTAACTAAGACATAGAATTACATTTATAACCTCATTCTTTTGCATTGGAATATGTCATTTTAAAAGTATTGTTCATGATCTTGTTCTCACTAGGTGGTGTTCCACAACAATACCTCTAAATTCCATTATTTGAATGCGGCTACGTCTACTACTTGATCATGTACAAGCACACATTGTTGTTTTTTAAACTATGTTTTCGCTGCTAGTTGTTCTGAGTCTACTATCATGATCGGTTTAAACACCAAAAGCTGGCGAAGCATTATAAATCAACCAACAGGCCTAAAATTGTAGGTGTACTGTTTTCTAATGATTTTCTAGTTTGCGGCATTTAAACTGTGGTATACTATATATATAAATGGTGTTTTAGATACTTTTTTGCTTTTCATCGTCCACCCTCAGCTTACGAGTTCAGGTATTGACGAAATGTCTTTTGGGCAGTGACTTATGGGAGACAGAAGAAAGAGCTGAAATGTTACTGTTTTACACGCCAACATAGTAACAAAACTGTGAAAAAATAAAAGAAAAACAGGTGTAGTTAACGTGATTTGTGTCAAATGTTATTACAGTCGTGAGCAGTCTTCTATTAAAGACACTGTGTTTATGAGAACTTATATTATATAATTAGCCAATTTTTATGGAAGGATATGCTGAAGGGTTCGGTAAATATTAACAGTTAAAATGGGAAAGTCTTAATGGGGCGTCAAATGAAAAAATAAGTTATGTCACGGGGTATTAAATGGAACAAAGGAGTTGGGATATGATAAAAGGGTCATAAGTGAAATCAATAAATAAAGTCCATAGATGCTGAAGCGCTTGTCAAGTGAAAACAACAAATTTTACCTTTGCAGTCTGATCAAGCTCGGAAACCAGTGTTTTATATTGTTAGGATATGGTACAGTGTCTACCTTTGCAGTCTGATCAAGCTCGGAAACCAGTGTTTGATATTGTTGGGATATGGTACAGACACTGTACCATATCCTAACAATATCACACGCTGGTTCCCGAGCTTGATCAGATTGCAAAGGTAAACACTACCTTTGCAGTCTGATCAAGCTTAGGAACCAGTGTTTGATATTGTTAGGATATGGTACAGTGTCTACCTTTGCAGTCTGCTCGAGTACGGGAACCTGTGTTTGATATTGTTAGGATATGGTACAGTGTCTACCTTTGCAGTCTGCTCGAGTACGGGAACCTGTGTTTGATATTGTTAGAATATGGTACAGTGTTTACCTTTGCAGTCTGATCAAGCTTAGGAACCAGTGTTTGATATTGTTAGGATATGGTACAGTGTCTACCTTTGCAGTCTGCTCGAGTACGGGAACCTGTGTTTGATATTGTTAGGATATGGTACAGTGCTTACCTTTGCAGTCTGATCAAGCTTAGGAACCAGTGTTTGATATTGTTAGGATATGGTACAGTGTCCACCTTTGCAGTCTGATCAAGCTTAGGAACCAATGTTTGATATTGTTAGGATATGGTACAGTGTCTACCTTTGCAGTCTGATCAAGCTTAGGAACCAGTGTTTGATATTGTTAGGATATGGTACAGTGTCTACCTTTGCAGTCTGATCAAGCTTAGGAACCAGTGTTTGATATTGTTAGGATATGGTACAGTGTCTACCTTTGCAGTCTGCTGGAGTTCTGGAACCAGCGTGTGATATTGTTCCACGCGGACACGATTCACATTGAATCTGTCCAGTCTGGTCTTGATAGTGGTTTTTTGGACATTGTTTACACTGTCCATCCTCTTCGTAGGTTCCTGTCGGGCACTCCCCTGAAAAATAAGGAAAAGTCAATTTTAAAGTAATTTAGTAATTGGTGAAATATCCAAAATCTCACAAAGATCATCTGCAGTTTCGGTTTCAACTAAGAGAAGGTGATCTATTTCAGTTAAAACAAAAAACGCGCTATTGTGTTTCACAGTTAAAAGAAAAACCATATTTGTGGAACAAACTATATTCTCTCAAACTTGAACAAAGACACTAGAAGACTGGAGGATACATATGAATGTGTTGAATTTTTTAGTAGTGAAAAATAATTTAAAAGCGTTATTTATAGTTAAAAGAGAAAGAGAGAGAGAGAAAAAGTACAGTAATGGATCAACGTAAATTCTATCAAAGTGTTCTGTCACAAAACTGCTCGTCCTTTCAGCCGCTGAAGCGTTATATGTGACAGTCAATCCTACTGTTTGTTGGTAAAGAGTAGCTTAAGAGTTGGTGGTGGGTGGCGTTAACTAACTGCCTTCCCTCTAGTCTACCACTTCCAAATGATGGACGGCCTTCGAGTAGCTTTGTTCAAAATTTAACAAAACATTCCACCAAAAGGCTTTTATAGAATATTAGATTCGACATTTGCATGTGTCGTCTTCAGTCCATATTTTAGTACAAATCTTCTGATAGGACATAGCTTGTTTCAAAAATGTGGTTTTTCTATTCATAATCTATGTTACATTGTTTTTGTAAAATCTACATTAATCCAGCCCAGTCTACATATCCTGATATACAGAAAAATAGAACTTAATTTTGTCATGAAAATATTTTTTACGTGTATTAATCTCTTGGTTCCGACTAAATTTATATTTGATGTATTGTTATAAAATATCTTGTGTTAAGCAGTTCTAAATAATGTCCCGAACTTAGAGCTTCATGAAAAATCGGGCCAGACGTGGTCTAGTGGTTAGCATATTGGCTGCGGATCGAAAGGTTCAAGGTTCGAGACGTAATAAGCTGCTGAACACTCCCTGTACATTCGTTTTGTGGGGGTAATGTAACAGATATGCCGCGTAAGAAGCGGACCTTCCTTCATCGTGTAATCAGTTCTAAGTTAAAGACCCGAAGAGTCTCACACTTTTTTTTCAACGTGTCGCATAATGTGCAGGTCACGATTCAAAATACCAATGCTTTGAAAAATCAAATTTCTCAAAAAACTAATTAGGTAGAGCACTCTTTAGTCCAGAAGTGATACGTTAAGAACGAAACAGTAAGAGAAAACTTACGGCATTTATCTGTATCGATGTCTACAACAAAGCCACGTTCTTGACAGATGAGATTAAAGTGTGTATCGTTAAAAGATTCTACCACTATGTTAGCACCAGAATTCTGTAGTTCCTGTTTAAACTCTGGATCCGAGGTTATAATCCGCTGGGTCTCAGACTGAATGGTCTCAATTAATGTCACGACGTTTTCATGTAGGTCATCTCCATCTGGTTCATATGCCGCCTGGAAATATGAGTGCAACAATTGAAAGAACAGCCAACCAATTAAATGTGACGAAAATAATTAACAATTAAGCTAAAATCTGAAATTTTATAAGAGCAATTTTATCATAACTGTAAAAATAAAGAACAAGATAACGTCAATAGGAAATCAGCACATCAGAATTAAGCCTAATCTTCAACAATACCACGATCATTATCTCAAACACAACCATATCATTATCTCAAACACAGCCATATCATTACGTCAAACACAACCATATCATTACCTCAAATACAGCCATATCATTACGTCAAACATAACCATATCATTACCTCTAACGTCAAACACAACCATGTCTTTACCTCAAATACAGCCATATCATTACCTCAAACACAGCCATATCATTACGTCAAACCTAACCTATTACTACCTCAAATACAACCATATCATTACGTGAAATACATCCATATAAATACCTCAAATACAGCTATATCATTACCGCAAACATAGCCATATCATTACGTCAAACACAACCTGTCATTACCTCAAACACAACCATATCATTACGTCAAACACAACCATATCATTACCTCAAATACAGCCATATCATTACGTCAAACACAACCTATCATTACCCCAAACACAACCACATCATTACCTCAAACACAACCATATTATTACCTCAAATGCAGCCATATAATTACGTCAAACATAACCATATCATTACCTCAAACATAACCATATCATTACCTCTAACGTCAAACTCAACCATGTCTTTACCTCAAACACAGCCATATCATTACGTCAAACATAACCTATTACTACCTCAAATACAACCATGTCATTACGTGAAATACATCCATATAAATACCTCAAATACAGCTATATCATTACCCCAAACATAACCATATCATTACCTCAAAGATAGCCATATCATTTCGTCAAACACAGCCATATCATTATCTCAAACACAGCCACATCATAACCTCAAACACAACCCTAACATTATGTCAAACACAACCATATCATTACCTCAAACTCAGTCATATCATTATGTAAAACACAACCATATCTTTACCTCAAACAAAACTATAACATTACGTCAAAATCAACCATATCATTACGTCAAACACAATATATCATTACGTCAAATACAGACAGATCATTACCTCAAACACAACCATATCATTATGTCAAACAAAACCATATCATTACGTCAAACACAACCATATCATTACCTCAAACACAGCCATATTATTACCTCAAACACAACCATAACATTACCTTAAACACAACCATATCATTACCTCAAACACAACCATATCATTATGTCAAACGCAAGAATATCTTTACACACCAGAGAACTTCTGTATGGCTTCTGGTACTCCTTTGTGTACTGTCAGTAAGAAAACACAAGATTTAACGATATTGTGTACTTTCAATAAGAAGA